GAAAAAATCAAGGTTACTTTCAGAAGCTTCATGAAATCCATGTCCTTTAATAAACATGAAATAAAAAATAATAACGAATCAATAATTAATATTCTCAATTGTCTAATAATTTGATTTAACAAACTTCATACTCTCTTTTTTTCTCGACATTTCAATTTATCATCGCTTTTTTCTGTTCAAAATTGACATCGAGATCGCATTTTCTTTTAAATATTACTATCAATATATGGTGGTGCTCGAATAAAAGGAAAAATTGTATTAACTTGTCTTAGTTCGAGTGGTAAACACTGGTCAGAAAAAAACAGCCTGAGCTTGCGAGACGGCGTCACTATACATAAAAAAAAAGAAAAAAAAGAAAAAAGAAAAAAAAAACAAATGAAAAATGAAGGGAAAATTCTCGGATGAGACAAGACAGACGTATATGAACGTGATAGAAACTTCACGTTTCGACGATATTAAAGAAACCGATGTTCGATCAACAGGAATAGGGATTTATCAGGTACTAGGAACAGTCCTGAGTTCTCGTTTTTTAAAAAAAATTCACAATAATGCATTTTTATCATTACATGGACATACGCGCATACGCACGTATAATGTAAAAAGAAAACGAGGATTAGTTTTTTTTTTTTTTTTTTTTTTTATATATTATTCCTTAATCTACTTTATGTGATATTAAAAAGGAAGTAAAAAAAAAATATTAAAAAAAAAATGACTAACTTAAATCACAGAAAGACGTTTTGTTTTTTAAATAACGAGAACCGGTTCCACACCTTGCCTGTACAGAAGTTATCATTAAGATAATACACACCATATATAATAATTACAATTATATAGCATTAATTATGAAATATCATATTAATAATTATTTAACCATGCATATGGCTCAGTCTATTATACTAGTCTCATGCAACAACAACAATAATAATAAAAATACAACAATATATTTACTTGTGTGCTTTTCATTTAATAAGTTATACTCCCCATTAGTACTTTAATTATTCCACTTTCTAATTCTCTTTACTACCGAATACATATATAGAGATACACTCTTCCTACAAAATGATTTTAATCAATATTGCAATTAATTAATACGTACTATTCTTATTTAAACATTTATTCTCGCTCAAAAAAAAAAATAAAAAAAAATAAAAAAATTAAAACCAATATATATATATATATATATATATATATATTTATTTATAAAAAGAATTAATGAATTTCAATTTACATTCACGCAACTAAGCAATACATTTCACATATCACCCCACCCCCCTTGACCCATAATATTTTCAATATTTAATATTATTTATTTATAGAGGATTTTACAATACTTCTATGTTCGTCTTAAAAATTTGCAACTTTCTAGACCGAGTTTTACGTACGAGCCTGTCTTGCATCGACAGAAAGCCACATGTTCGACTTTGTAATATTTGAACATCTTCCGTTAGAATGAAACATCATTCCGCAATGAAAATACAAAAAATTTCTCCCTCAATAATAACATTATATATTTACACTCGATGCGTATGAAAAAATATTAATAATTTTCACATCATAAATCTATATTCTTTACTTCGTTGTTTTTTTTTTCCTTTTTTCCTTTTTTTTTTGTTAATTTATCCCCGTCGCAGTAAAAAATTTCATGTTAATCTGAAAACGACTTCTTATGAAACATCATTACATTCATTAACAATATACGATTAAATTAATAAACATTGAAATTTTTTTTTATTATTATTACAATTGGACTTAGGAACTATATGAAAAGTATTTAATACAAAAATCGATGATAATCGATTGTCACTGACTCGCGCGCGTCTATTTAAAAATGCAAAAAGAGAACAATAATATTTCGTAATCACACTACGCTCCCATAAACGTCCCGTAAAACATATGGCAAAAAGCGATCGAGCTTTGATAATTTGACAATTGTACGAGATATATTTAAGTTTCTTTATGTATATACACATTGTAACACCATTTTTTAATAAAATGAAAACAAGAATAAACTAATTACTTTTAACACCATGCGTACAGATTGTAAGTTTTTGATCGTCGGTGTGCTATAATATAAAACATGTGGCTTTGCAAGTACGACGTTTACTGGCTCTTAAGTAATATAAAAAGTAGTAATATCACAAAAATTAGGTACAGGCAGAGTTAGGAAAGGACCGGTTTTTAAAATTGTGGGACACATTCATTTGAAGACTCCGGCACTTCATAATTGCCAAAAATTTTGAACAATCGATCAAAATGGGAACAATTGCAATGCATTTGTTTCTTTTTAAATTTAGCTTTGCTTCTCACCTATATATGTATATATGCATATATACAAGTGTGTCTCTCTCTCTCTCTCTCTCTCTCTGTGTGTGGAGGTGTGTGTGTGTGTTTGTGTTGTGTGTTTGTGTTGTGTTTGTGGGTATGTACATATAATATATATATATATATATATATATATATATATAGATATACATATACATACTTATGCATGCATACGTACATACAATACATACACGCACGCACTCAACACACACCAATACACATGCATAAATACATCAAATCATACATCAATACAGTCATATGCACACATATGCACACACAAGCACGCACGCACGCACGCACACATATATAATGGGAAAAAACGGTATACTATACAAGCCTTTTTGAGAAAATAAAAATCATTTTATCGAATTTGCGTAATAGATCTAATATTTTTTTAATAAAAGAAAAATGTAGATCAACGTTTACATTAAAAATATTATTACCAATTTTCGATAAAAATAATTATGTATATGTATAAATGAGACTCGTATTAAAAAAAGAAAAAAGCATGAGTACATCGCGTTTCTTGGACTCTTTAAGTACCCCATAGCACAAGTTACATTCATTATGTAATTGATAAATACCGTTTATCCAATATATTATCTCGCTTGCTCTAGCTAATGATCCCTGCCAGCTGATTTCTATTTAATTTATTCATTAACTTTTTTGTTTTATTCACATGATTTATCGATAACCAATGTTACTCGCAAGGAATCTTGCGCTGAACATAGCTTTATACTTATATTCAATTACAAGATAGAAAAACGAAAAGTAAACGCATTCATTCGAATAATAAAGTTCTATAGAAATGTCTTGTCAGAGGTTTCTCTCTTAGCAAACAATCGGATGATCGTCGTGTCATACAATTTTCTTCTGCTCATTGAATTCTTTACTTTTTCTTTTTCAACAACAATTTCGAGAGTCCACGTAGTGATAATATCGCACGTATAAGAACATGCATTTATTATTTTGATTCAAGACTCAATGAACTCCAACAGCTGATGGAATTACTTACAGATTTACTTAGTATTTCAATTTCTTTACATGTGAGTCCAAACAAAATGTAGATTGTTGTTGCGCAATTAAAAAGTAGCGAGTTTCATAGATTTCACGTCATAGCTCAACCTATTCTGCGAAAATAGATGATTTTTTTTTCTTTTTCTTTTTTTTTAACAATTGAAATTCACACGATTAATATATAATTATTGATAAAGATTCATCACTCATAATGAAATTTGCTTTAAAACTTTATTTATATTTACAAGTTTTGTTTACAATAAAAAATTAAGGAGAAAAAAAAAACAATAAAAGAAAATAATATACAAGTGTAAATAAGAAATATGGAAATGATTAATAATCGCATAGTGATCTGCCGCGTAAAATATTATCACTCATGGACTTATTTAAAAAAAAAAAAAAAAAAAAAAAAAAAAAAAAAAATTTATAATACAATTATAATAAAGAATTGCGCGTAACCTAGTATCACAATAAGACGGGTGACAATTTTCGGCGCAGAATGAATGGAATGGCACTTTATGCGTATCAAGTGTTAACGTATAAAATTATACATTTTCAAAAAGGAAAACGATTTTGCACGACACGGAATTTATAAAATATAGCAAAAATTTTATTTGCGAATGGTAAAACTTCTCTTTCCTTAAGCATTGTTTCGAATTCTGTAAGCTATACCGTAAGCATTGTTCCATTAAACTTTTTTGAGATTGCTGATTACACATTATTCCATGAGCTTTATAACGTGAGATCTATGTATACTAGCGAGCTAACGAAGCTTATTTCATGGTACCGCAACTATACTATATTCTTGGGGTACCGGGGCAACTTTTTCCATTATTTTTGTTCTTATACTTCAAACTTGATTCACATTGTTTTTTTTTATTTGTTTTTGTTTTTGTTTTTTTTTAAATATTTTTTTATATATATATTTTTTTTTTTCGTTTACAATGAGGGTTAAACACTTGTCAATGTTTCAGCTCTAATTTGAGTGGTTTTAATAGCGTATTTGCTATTTTAATATTTGTGGTAAAATTTCGCAACTGTAATTTAAAATATACGTTCATCTAATGTTAGGAGCGAAAAAAAAACACAGATAAAAAAGAAAAACAATGATATTTGGTGTCACATTCGAAACAATGAATAAAATAAAATAAAATAAAAAAAAAAAAAAAAAAAAAAAAA